CTATTTCGGTGACTAGCAGCCGGCAGAGGTTGAAGTCGAGAGCGGCGTTCCTCAAGGTTCTATCCTTAGCCCTATAATGTTCATTATGTACGTCAACGACTGCGTCTGTGAACTGGATTGTGATGTCGCTATGTTTGCCTATGATATTAAAATTAAGAACGTCATCAGAAATGCAGCTGAAGAAGAGCGTTTGCAGGTAAACCTAAACCGTCTTCAAACTTGATCTAAAGACTGGCTCTTACTGCTTAGTCAACACAAGTGCAATATCCTACTAATTGGCCCACCCAGGTCTCAGAATCCCATGGGTTTACAGACCGAACGGCATCCAACTGCAAGAATTGGACGCGCAGAAAGATTTGGGATTGTGGATCACGACGTCGTTTAAGCCCTCGCTGTATTGCGCAAAAGTAGTCACGTCTGCGATAACCGTCCTGTATCTTGTTAAACGGGCGTTCTGTGCCTTTGATAAAGACTGCTTCGCTAAGGTCATTGCAACATTTGTGCGGCCGAAACTGGAGTTCATTATCCAAGCATGGGGACCCTGGACTGCGAAAGACCTAATTTCCCTCGAGAAGGTTAAAAGGCGTGCAACTAAACTTGTGATCGGGCAGGGTTCATTACCCATGAAACACACTTAGCTAATCTCGACCTGTATCCTTTGAGTTAAAGGCAGCTGCGCGGTTATCTGAGATAATCATTTCATAAAATGCGCGGTCATGACTGCTATCCTCTACCTGCCGACGTCTTCGAGTTAGCCACCACTACGAACTTAAGAGTTCATCCATTCAAATTACGTGTAACCGGGGCCAGACTAGACACATGAAAGTTCTTTTTTGTAATAGAGTGGTTGAAGCTTGACATGCTCTGCCCCTGGATTTTGTTATGTCCGCTTCTGTTTAAGTCTTTAAGAAGAAGCTAGATTCCTATAGTAATGTTCACTCTAACACCAGTTGACCACTGTAGTCTAACTGCCGGCGAATGAAATATTGTATTTCTTATAGTATTACCCGCTTCGTTTGAGTAATATTTATTGATGAAAATATAATCTGCACCAAATTCATCCAAATGCATGCAGCTCACTTATGTCAACCAATCACGGACGAATAGTAACGATTGTGGCAGTTTCTCCTGTTTTCGTCACGCTGATGACAGCCTCGGAAATTCGCAAGGGCGTATCTTGGTCGCAGCTGCGGTTCTCCGGGATGTAGTCGTGACTCTGCGGTCTCCTCCTCGTGTGGCCGTTCGGATAAAGATATTAATCGCAATGGGCCCCCTGGCCTGCCGCCAACATTCAAAGCAGCATGCCGGTCCTTGTTTTCACATACATTTCTCTCACGAGCCACAGTTTTTCTCCTTAAAAAACGACAAATAACATTCCATTTTTTTTAATTCTGAGCCATACCTTTGGAGTTTTTTCACTGCCTGCTCTTTTTGCTCAGTTACGCTCTCTGGCTCATGTTAACTGACAGTAACCCACGTAATTATGTCACTTGGAAGAAGTGAGTAGTCGCCCACAATTATGTAACTGGACGGCCCTCTTTGAATTGTTCGGCTGTGTTGATACATTTCTTAACTACTCTGTACCAATAGGCCGTTCAAAGACGTTTGCCTATATTTTCCTTAATAAAGTTGACTCGACTTAACGTGACTATGGCACGCACAGTTAGACACCGTAATATTTTTCAGTCAACGCCATAGCAACCTGGAATAAACTGCCCAGAAGTATTAAAACTCAGCAAAGTTATCCTTTATTTAAGAGAGCTATCACTAGTTTTCTACATTCAGGACAAATTTCACGAATTTTGGGTGCTGACCCGGTGGAATCTCTTATTCCCTCTGATGGCGTTCGTAAACTTTGAACTCTGGCAGGCCTCATGCTGAGGATAATGGTGCTGAATCTGCGGCCCGCAATCGGTTAATTCTTCAGCCGACAGCGAGCAACTGTTCGCCGACAAACAGCCCGCTGGTGTTGAATCTCGAAACCATTACACTCAAGGAAGACTGAGGACACTGTGTTCCTGTGTCAATCCTCGTGGCTTTAATCCACCAAGTGCTCTGAGGCAGCTTGACCACTCTCGGGGCTCCAGTCACCCGGATGTCTGTTTATTTATTCCTCTGGCACGCACAATTAGATATTGCCATTTTTTTCAGAAGACGCCATCGTCATCTGGAATAAGCATGATAAGAGAGTTTATGGTTGGTCGAAAACAGTAACAGAGGACATGGCACACTGAAAAACGTAACTGGCGGTGTGCCTGGAGGCTCACTTCTTGGAACCTTACTCTTCATCCATTATTTAATGGCACTCTTCAGGAACTCGGCTACGGTGAAATAATATGTGGTGATGACTGAAAACTGTGGCAAATAATTTAGGGACCAAGTAACCAGAACACCCTTCCAAATAATCCGCACCCATTGCAGACGTGGTCCGAGAACTTCCTTGTGGATTTCAATGTGCAGATATGTGCCATCCTTCATCTGCGTCCAACCGATTGCCCTTCAAATGACAGTATGATGCCATATCACCTGAGAGATATAAGTCTTCCTTTAGAATCTTCGCAGGAGGCCCTCAGTGAGTTGATAAAGAGAAACATGAAACCAGCACTGCAGCTCGTTAAGGTTGCAAAAAAGCCATGTATGCAGTATATACAGTCAAAGGAGCATTCGCAGCAATTTTCGAAGACAATTTTGGAAGATTTTACGGCTGCTTTGTTTTCTTATACAGCCTTACTGATAAAACACCTCTTGGGCGCTGTCAGTATCTATAGCTGGAGTATGGCATACAAGCCTGGCGGTCATGACTAGTAAAGGACACAACGTACCTCGAAAAACTGGTAAAATGCTGAAAAAGCTGATCCAACATGGAAAAACTGAACTGCGTCAACCTATTTCCCCTGTCTCAGGCAG